ATAGTAATAACATTAAAAACTTGTCTGTGGTGTTTAGCTTAAGCAGCAACAACAATTTGGTTAGTATCACTTCATTCTTGCTTCAGAGGTTACTCGAAGACCGTTTACCTAATTTCCATCGAATTGGATTTTAAAAAATGATCGAACTTGAATTTTTGTAAAATAAGAAGATTTTCCATTTGAAATAAATCAATTGGTTAATAAATGATATGATACAAAGCAATCAGTTCTAATTATTATTTTTCCATTGTTATTCCACTTAGATTAAAGAGATATGTTTATATTAATTATTATTTTTTACCTACAGTGATTTTCAGTTCAGTTCAGGGGCTACGATGTCAAAAATTAGTTGAAAAAATCGGTTTTTTTTTACAATGTAGTCTATACCTGAAATTTATAGAAACGGTCAAACATGGCGTTTGAAGCAAAGTACAGATTACTGAAAACCAATTTGACAAACTTATTTTTCAGTGTAGATTTTTGTGAATATCAATCAATAGAAAATGAATATAAAAAATCTTTAGTGAATTATAGTTTATAAAAATTACAAATATTTAAACAAGTAAATATGAAACACAATGCGGTCAAAGAAAAGTGTGGTTACAAGCCTTGACAAAATGACGAACCAAGTTAAAAATTTGTCCTAGATGGGATATACCAGACAAAAATTAAAATTATGACGTGGAACAATTGGTTTAAAAATAACAAAGGATTAGCAAACTAAAGCTAGGTTGTCGAATATGGGCAAAAATACGGATTTTTCATATATTTGGAAATTACGTTTTTTTGTCTCTCACAAATCTACAATTTTCTAAGTCTTATTAATATAATTGAGTTTTGTATTTGTGTTATATCATTCAGCAATATACGCTCAAAGACAAAAAACAGGACACTTATATTTTGTTGTTTATTTCAAACTATATGTATGTATTTTTATTGTTACATTATTTACAACATACTTATTTTCATGTAAGCCAAATTAAACGATGACAGAAATTTATGAGTTTTAATAAAAATTATTTCAATTTAGAGGGCCGCAGAAGCCGAGAGTGGTCGAGGGTTCGATTCCCACCTTCGCGGTCGCCCATTTTCTCACACAACCTCTAATAACTTAAGAGCAAAACCAGGGAATAATTTGTTATTTAAATTTACATTTTAAAAATCTTAAAATTTTCTGATCTTGATTAATTTGGTTTACATTAAAATAAGTATGCTGTAATTAATATAACGATAAAAATACATGTACATAGGTTGAAATAAGGAACAAAATACGAATGTCTTTTTTTGGTATATATTGCATATTTTGAAAAACAAAATGAATTTATAAACTTGAAACGGGAATATGTTCTTTAAAAATGGAACACGATTAAAACAACAAAAACATTTGAAATTTAAAATATAGTGATTTTTGCTAAAAAGATATTCAATATTCAATTGTTATCCGCAAACATTAAACAACAAGAACACAAAATGCTCAATTAAATTTGACCAAAGGGTTCCAGTGAGCATGGTACAAAAAAAAAAGAAAAAAAAAGAGGGCAAATTTTCCCACTTATGTATATAGATAGTATATTTTGACTGTAATCTTAGATATAAAATGCTGAAGAGACTATTTTACAAATGATTTAAAGTATTGCAACAAAAACCTATTATACACTACTTTAACCGGCCTAATTTGGACCTACGGACTTGAACTGTACAGGACAACTAAGCGACAACTCCTTCAATCCAAAATCCTTCCCACAATAGTTGATGTTTCATTCTACGTCACCACTCATACTTTGATGAAACTATCCTCCTGTGTTTGCATTCTCTCAATTCGCAACCTGTCCAGCTCAACCCTACCTTGGCGCAGGTGGCCTCCGACCATTTGATTGTACAACTTCCGTAACACTAAGGTATGCTGTTGAAAACGCCAACAAAGGGATATACATTTTGGCTGTTGATTTCACGCCATAGTGAATAATTACGGCCACTTTCACTGGATGTTGGCCGTTCAAATCAAGCACGCCAGCATGTGCATACAATCTTGTGTATGTGCTTGGGGCTATGTATGTATATCCTTTTAACGTCATAATTTTTGCTTGTTGCATTTTCTATTCAGTTGTAAAATAGATAAAGAAAAGAAAAAGGAATAAAAGAAAGAAAAAAGACAGGTTGACTCGGATATGTCGGTTTTGCACTAGCGTCTCTAAAAGTTTTCACTTCACCTTTTCTAAACCTTAAAGATTTTGTCAATTGTACACAGATGGTTTTCTTCTGTCAGGACAAGTTACAGATAATCGCATAAGGAAGGAAAAACTTTCATGAGATCCAAAAATATCATAATTTTCGACGGAAATTTAACAAAGAAAGCAACCGATTTTCGTTATAGAATAGAAAGTCAATTTGAGTCTTAAATATGACCATCTAGGGCTGTTTGCGCGAACGTTTAAACTTTAGTTTTAAACTAAATATATTTTTCCAAATCCCTCCAAGTTGGTGTCGAAGAAAAAATTATGTATATTTTAAAAATAAAAAGATTGCATTCTACAACCAACATTTCCCCCCCTCTAAATTGTTTCTCCTTGAACTACTTACTCTGTATAAAAATCTAATTAGCACTGGGTTAACAAATTACTTATTAGTTTAAAAACAGTAGTTATAATGTGCAAGGGGGGGTGTATAATATTAGATTGTCTTCAACGGTATAAGGCTTAATTATCATGACTTACTTTTCAATTTGTAAATATTTAAAAACGTACTATTTTTACAGTTAATATTATAAAATATTGATTTAGTTTTTAGGTTATCTTACGACAAAGCCAACAACTGCCCAATCTGGTCACAATATGATATATATAAATAGTTTACAATTTCAACCATTCCATTTCATCGGGAATATTTGTGACGGCTTGAGTGCTATCAAATTTAATTAATTTCATTTGTGCTACATAGTAAGACCGCTTTTTCAGATTCTACGAGAAGTGGTAACTCCACGACAATATAAGATGATTGGGGCAATGGTTAGACAAGGACGAATGACAAGGACATTGAAAATTATGATTTGTAAACCACCTTCAATTATAAAATAAAATGTTCGCCAGTAAAAAATTATTATGTTAAATCCCATAAATCAAAGCAATTTCATACATTATATATTAATATACAAAATTATTAACGTTCAATCACGAAATCAAAAATTTTTTGCAGACAGATCGTTGGAAGGAGAAATAAAAATTAACTTTTCATGCGAGCGTGTAAAACCAAGATTGTTGCATCGTTCCGAGTGTTATCATATATTTTTAAATAGTTATTAACTTTTCGAACGATTCTAGTATGTTCAAATCTACTGAAGTATTGCTGTTTTCATTGTGGCTATACTGTAAAAGAAATTACGTATGTGCATTCGAAAACACATTTATTTAAAAAAGTTACCATTATTATGTTTTTGCTGTACATGATGAATATGTAGATGTTTGATTTTAAATCCCAAAAGATAAGATATAAGACACTCGAATAAGAAAAATAAATTACCAATTGATAATTTTATATTATCCCATATCAGAGGCAAATCTTTCGACTATAATCAACATATGATAAAACTAAAAAGCTAATATAATACGGATTAAATAAAACTGACATACAATACATTATGCTACGATAAAATATTGGAATACATTTAGGAAATATATTTCTATTTGCAATATAAACAGAAAAATGATAGTAATAATAATTTAAAAAAATTTAAACAACTGCAATGAAAAATGTATAGGGTTAATAAAACGATGACTCGAAATCCGCGACGAAAGGTAGATTCTGCATTCACAGATTACCGAGCGACCCCCCTAGAAATCGATCGGTTGCGTAAATGCACTTACAACTTCTTTTTGTCTTTTTTTTTGCTCTTTATTTTGTTTTTATTATAATTGAAAGACACAATTCAAAGAGACGTCACGGTCGTACGGAATACTGCTAACTGTTTACCAATTTTACTAACAATAAAAGGGTTCGATCTTATAACGTGAAGACTGTTGTTCCATGCCCATCACACATTCCGAACAGACGAGGAAGAGTTTCAACGAAGATAAATTATTTAAAGATTTTCAAGCATAGTTAATCGAACAGGTTCGACTAATTGTTGTAAGTGTTGAAAATAAATCTTGCAAGATAGCTTTTACTAGTTTTATCTATTCCTCCACAAATCCACAGTTTTTTTGCTTTTATTTTTATTAAACACAAGATGCAATTATTCAATAATAATATAAACTATTTAATCAAATTATTTACTATAACAATTTATTTGGATTAATTTATAAGATGATTGCTATTATTAAATGACGTTTGTGCGTTTGGCCTTTATCAAGTGGGGTAGAAATGTAAAAAATGCATTGGTGGCTATTAATTTCAATCGATAATGGTTAAAAATAAGTAAGTTTTTATTATCAACAGTTATCCTGCGATAAGAGAACGAAATCAATTGAAAAAGAGACGCCAGGCGTTTAGCTGGCTAATTCAGAGAGAGATTTCGCGTGAGGGCTCTCTACCTAGCAGGCCAAATTAAGATTTGAAGTTATATGTTTATTTGAGTTATGGTCTACAACCCAAGGAGGCGCGAGCAGGGGTTATAATGTTTTAAACTAGTTTTTAGCATTCTAAGGTATTTTAACGTTAAATTAGTACGGATGGGACTTTTAAATCACAATTATTTTCCAGGGATTCCTATGAATAATGTGAGAAACTTATTTATAGTATTATTACGGTGCTGTGCAAACCCGGGCAACAGAAATATAATTTATAAAGGGGAATATTTTGTCCAAAGGTGATTATTCAAAGGATAACATTATATTCGGGACGTGGGCTTAAAAACAAATCGGGCTCCGGCCAGAACTCGACACCTGTTGCTCCGGTTTGTTTAGTACATTCTATTGTAAAGACAACGGTATCGATTTCCAGAAAACAAGAAGCAGCAATAACAAAAAATAACAGAAAAGGAAGAAGGTTTATTCGGCATAACTTACGAGAGATAGTTGACATCGCGATCGGTGAATTTGGTGCCGAGTCCGGATTTGGGTTCGTTCCACTCGAGGAGGAGGGAGATGGTATGGAAAGTTGCCTGTCACTAGTATTCGGCTTCATCACGGGTATTGCGGGCAGATTCTTTTCGGCTCGTTGCTTCGCCAGTTTTTCCGCCCTCCTCTCACGTGTGCGTTTCGCGAATCTTTTTCTTTCTTGCTTCGTGTGGAGGCAATTGATGCAATCACAGTACTTGTAGTGACAATAGTCCTTGTGCTCTTTGACCTCGCTGAAAATTTTATGGTTCCTGCACAACTTGCAATAGACAATTTTGTTCTTCCGCTTTCGAGTCGAACTTTTATTTGAAGAGGAATTGTCTTCATCGTTGGCCGCGGTCGAATGGTCTTTTTCTTCCGACTCCATGATGCGTTCCGTGTTAGCGTCCAACACCGTTTTGATCATTTACGGCCGGATCACACCCAAAAATATTTGAACACTACAGAAAAATTCCTCTCGTGTTACAAAAATAATTGTATATATATTTATATATATATATATTTTTTTTAATCGACTGTAGCAAATTTTACAGCGATCGTGGGCCCACTTTTCTCTCGTGTTCGAGGCGGAAATGGAAAATAGTAAAAGCACTTTTTTTCACAATACGCGAGCACTTCCCCTCGTAAAGAAATTCGGCTGATGACCTAATGGTTGCAGTGTTCAACTGCAAGTGCAAGACGGATGTAGAAAAAGGGCATTATTGCACCGCTAAGGGCGCCCAGCGGTCCGAAGACGAACTAGACGGATTGAAGCCAATTCTCCTCCTCCTCCACTACGATCAGGATCCCTTCACATATTACCGCTTAAATTGAAAGTTTACAAATTATCTCGACCTGTGCATCGATTCTGACACGAATGCCACCCATCTCGATATGTCAACCAAGACACGGATTTGCATTATACCAAGTTGCCACTCACTTAATGACCTACTTTTCTACTTATCGTCAAGTAGGCAGCGACAATTTTCTTCCCCATCGTCCTTGTCATGAATTATATTAAAAAGGATTCTTCCAACAGTTTTGCAGCGGATCGTTTCACACACGGGCTTCCGGATTTATTCACAATTTTCAATTGTCCGAAACATTTGACCTACTAATTTCATTGCTGCTCTAATTATCGTCGATCAAAGTTTAGATGTGATTCGATTAGGAATAACTGGTGACTGCAGGGTTATTAGCATATTACGACAAATAAATTATAATTTATATATATTTTAAAAAAATTAGGTTTGTAAAAGTTGATATAATGAATCATAATGTGTTCCAATCACTACATATAGTCATAATATTTCTAATGTCAATCATCCCACACGATTTTTTAAATTGCTTAATTAATTTTATCTTTTTAAATATATTTTTAATATCCGTGTCTTTATGTAAATTAATTTTGAACAATTGTTAAACTTTCATAATTTTTAAAGTCAATCAATTTACAGGGTGTTCGGCTACTCGTGTTACAAACTTTGCCACTAGATTCTACAATCAAAAAGGAACCAAAAATTTCCTAATTAACTATTGTCCTAATTTCAACAGTTTCGGAGTTATTGCACTTTTTCTGATTTTTTAAGATTTCACGACCTTACTTCAAATAAACAATGATAGCTCCATAAATAAAAGGTTTTGAACAAATCTGTTGACCATTGAAAACTACGTTAAATTTCCGATAAGATCTGATCAATTCTAAACTTGTAAACGTTCATGAAATAATCGTTTTAGTAGCCAGAACTTTGAAAAACATATTTTTTTTTCAAAGTTAAAAAATACTATGATGATTTTCATCTACTATTTCCACACCTAGAAACCAGCAAATTTCAGCAAGTGTACTCCATTTAATATCCATTTTATTGACGCAATTGCTTTTTTAATTACTTTTTTTCAAAAATGAATAAATTGATGAAGGAAAGGAAAAACCGCGGTTGGAGGATTGGTAAGGTAGAACAATCGTAATAATAATAAAAAATTACCAACACGACTGAAATTGTGATTAAAGTATTATTGTATTAATCATGGCTTTTCATGGAAAATGACTGGAAGCCCAAATTATGTTAAGAAAAGTTAAATGATTTAATTTTTCACAAGAAAATCCCATACAATTGGTGCAATTAGTAAGAGCAAGAAGCTTGTCATACCTTGGATCCTTGCAGAGATTTAAGAATGGTTCTCGAGCACAGCAGTCAGTTTCTGGGTCCTCTGTTCCGGGCTTTAGAGACATGGGGGCATTTTACTGTATATAGTTAAATTCTATTAGTTTTGTTGTGTGCGAGTATTTATTAGTGTGAGCGGCGAGGGACTGATGGTGAAATATAGCGTCTCCATCGCTTATATATACAGTTTATAGAAGTACCTCATCGACCCTAATTTAGGTTAGATTGTTAATAGGTGTATAGGTCGATGGAGGAGTATCCAGTACACCACTGAATAATCAGGATGAGTGCAATCCATGAATGTATTTATTTGTGCGACTGAATTTAATTAGTATTAGGCTAAGACAAAAAGTGCGTAATTGGAGAAATCATCTGGGAAAATACATGAATGCATGCTTCGTTTTAATTATTTTACTTACAATTTAGCACACAATTAATTTCAATTGTGCTTATATAAAATTTATTTTGGGCAATTAGTACGTTTTAATCATTTGTAAAGTGAAAAATGGCAAAAAGGAGGGAAAACTCAAAAGGTGGGGTTGAGATAGGAAGTTGGTGTCCGAGTGGATCGAGGTCACGATAGCTCAAGTGGTAGAGCAGTGGCGTATCTAGCCGAAGATCGTGGGTTCGAATCCCGCTCGTGCCATTGACTTTTTTATCTCAACTAAAAACCTTAATTAATTGTAATATATTAATTGGTCAAGCGGACCACGAAATTAGTGAATTATTCATAACGTCTAACTTAGAAATTATTATTTTAATTTATCGGTCACAATGGTGGTCTTGTCGCTAGTTTTCTGTTTTTCAGTAGCTATGTGCTACAATCTCTCACTATAACCTTTTGTTTTTATTACTCGTGGGATTTCGTTTCTGATTGAAAAATAGATTGATATATCTCTTATTCATCTTAATCATATAAATTGAATTAATAAAAACATCATACAATCGAATTTCCATCTGCTGGTTTGTTGTCTGTTTAAGAGTAATAAAGCACATAAACGCAGGTAAGGGAAAATTAAAGCAACTACAATTAGTAGTTAGTAAATAAACTAATATCTTCAATTAAATATTAACTTTTTATAACTAAAAATTAGAACCAAAAGAAAAATAGATTGACAGGAACTAACAAATCTTTCAAAACTTTTTTTTCGTCAAACTTACTTTAGATAACATCTTTAATGATTTAATAATTAATCGTAATTAATAAGATAATTTAAAATAATTTTATTAGAGACATTATTTATATACCATAGTAAATTTATCTACCCGATAAAAAGGTGTAGATAGATTTACAAATCCTATTCTTCTATGAATGATTCTGGAATTCAAACGGTGTGTATACAATTACTGATAAACTTACAACACTACTACATGACAGAAAAGTGAGGAATGCACGAATAATAGAAACTCGATTGACGAAACCCAAAATCTTGCACATAACAGGATACGAAACATACAAAACTGACCACCATCTCTAACCATTCCTATCACATGTCGTTATTCCTACAAATGCCAATGATTTCCTACGATGTACTGCTGCTTTCACTCCGCGTCTATTCCCACCGCCTCACTATACTGCCCATCCAATAAAATAATAACACTCTCCAAAATTTAAGAGTTCTTTGGATCTTTTGAACCAAATTGCTCTCCGACTGCGACTACAATGCTAAACACTTGCAATGGGCTCCGGAGTGACCAACTCCCGAGGTCGCTCTTTTCACTCAGCACTTAACTCTCTCCACCTTTTCACTATCTTTCCTGATACACCACATTTGGACAACTGATCCGAACCGCCTTCCTGATCTTATAGACGTATTCATTTTAAAAAAACCTCGGACCTCTCCACAGTTCAATATCAACCCTCCACGATCCCTCCTACTCAGACCATAGTCCGAATCCCCTAAACATATCCCTCATTCCAATTCTTCCATTCCAATTATAAATTAGAACGCCTTTCGTTCCCAAATAGAAAATTCCATCGACCTCAGCATTTCTTTACAAATCGCAGACGAGTTGGACGAGTCTGTGAATCTCTTCACCACTGCTATCAAGCTTCAATGATGACACAACTAGCCAGACCTCTCAAAACCCCAAACTATCCAAACCCCTCCCATCACACATTGCGAAACTGTACCTAAACTGGCAGAGTTCATAACATTCTTCCGACCACCAATCCTATAATATTGATTAAATTATCCCGTTTGGCTAACAAAGAATTAAAAATCCACAGCAACAATGCTTCTTACTCCTTCCTATCCAAACTTCTAATAAATCACCTGGACTGTCGCGAAAAGAATCCTGAAACACCACATTCCATCTTTCCCCTCCTTCGAGACGATGTCTATTCAAGAAAAAACCGATGCATTTGCTTGACATCTCCACGAAACTCTCCAATCTGAGCCTGACAATAATTTGGACGAAACAGATATATTGATGAATATCTCATATCTCCCCTCCCTATGACCCTCCCCCGAAAGCCGTCACTCCCGCTTAGGTCATATATCCTGTCACGCTTGCCGAACCTCAAAGATCCTGGTTTTCACCTAATTACTTCCCAAATTTTGTACAATTCCCTCAAAAAGCTATTGTATTCCTCACATCCCTTTACAATAGTATATTCCGCACTACCCATTTTCTCTTACCATGTAAATACTCGAACATCATCCTCTACATCATGTCCAAAATATTTAGAAAAATTCTCCTTAAAAGACTATTGCCAAAATGAAACTCCACTAACCTTCTTCCAGATCATTAGCTTTCTCCCCCATCATTTCTCAATCCAGCAAGTGTTTCCCGTTGTAGACCGTATCCTCCTCATCCTCCCTTGAGCGCGAAGAATATTATAAAGGAGCTTTTCTTTTAAGCGTTTGACCTCGTGTAGCACAAGGGTCTCCTGTGCAAATTAATGCGTGTCCTTCCAAATACTTTCTACTTATTCCTCCACTCTTATTTAACAGAGCGGTCCTTTCAGATCCGACAAGGTTCAGATTACGTCGAATACTGTTCTCGGGCCGCGGGTGTACCTCAGGGCTGTGTGCTAGGACCAATCCTCTATATCCTTTATACTACATATGCTTCCAATGAATCTACCACCCTCCTTTCGTCTTTTGCCGATGACACAGCTGTACTGTTCTCTAACTCCGTTCCTGCTTCGGAAATCTACAGGGACATATCAATTGCATAGCTGATTGGTGTAGATATGGAAAATAGAGATTAACAAAAGCAAGTGCGTCTATGCCACATTGACACTCCGAAGCAAAACTTCTCTCACAATATATTACAAAATCGTTCCCATCCCCAAATACGATTGGGTCCGTTACCTTGGGTTCCGCCTGGACCCCGCGCTTAACGCGGAATCGGCATATACGACTGAAACTACAAGACCTAAATAGATATTACGGTTTAATCTACAGACGTATAGGACGACAATCTTAGCTATAGATGAAAAACAAACTTACAATTTACGAAACGCTACTACAAACGATTTTGAATACGGTATTTGGGGCACCGCTAAGCCTTCCAATATCCAACGTCTGCAATCCATTCATTCTAAAGTC